TATGTATTTTGGAGGTGTCCTTGTACATATTTTAGGGCTATTTTGTGTATATGATGTTGTGTAGAGATAGAGCTACTATACTTTGTACATTGAGAGGGAGTCTTCTTCATGCGTGGAAGAGTGGTGGAGTCTTCTCATATGGAGTCTTCTTCATGTGGTCTTCTTGCTTAGATGAGTGGAGAGTGGTTGTGGAAGACTCCACCACTCTTCCACGCATGAAGAAGACTCCCTTCTTGCTTAGATGAGTGGAGAGTGGTTGTGGAAGAGTACATTCTCTTTGGGAGAGTGATGGAATCTTCTTGGGGATGAAAGAATAGTGGGTGGTAAGATAGTACTTGGGAGAGTCCTCCCACATGTAGATGAATGAATGGACCCCACTTTCCCTTGTGCTCATCCCTTCTTATAGCTAGCCAACCAAATAGTGTCCGTTGGACAATTTAGTAGGGTATTGATGGGTGATAATTAGGGGGTTATGGGTATTAAGTTAGTTGATAAGGAGGTTAACGGCTAGTTGGTAAGTAGGGTAATAATTACGTAATAATTGGGTGGTTAGGAATGGTGGGATAGATAAATAGGGTAGTAAATAGGAGATTAATATGGGTTAATGGCTAATTTAGACCGACCTTCCACCCATGCCGACCTCCGGGTCAAGCCGACCCCTCGGTTTGGCCCACATCTATTGTTGGGCTTGCTCCACGTGGTTCACACCCAATCAAAAAGTATGTACGCCAATTTATTACTCTTATTAAATTAAATAAATTAGTAGCTACAACAAAAAATAATACATATGCATTTAATTAATTTAGAATTGAGTAAAAGACATTTTTTGTCTTAGACTTATAGCGGCACGGACAATTTTGGTCCTTCATAAAAAAATCAGACAATTTGTGGACACTTTTATTATGACGAGGACAATTTTGGTCCTCCGTCAGTATTCCCATTAGATGACTCGTTTGAGAGAGGGTTTGGGAAACGACGTAGTTTAAGTTGTTGGTTAAAAACCCCGATGGAATTGATCTTTCTTTCAAGAATGTTGGGGGAAAGATGCTTGATGCAATGCTGCTGGACATGAAGCTCCATGGACGCATTGCTGTATGCGGGATGATCTTGGTAATGTCGCGCCTTGCTGTCTAGCTTGCAGATAAACACGAGAACGAGCCACGCGAACTTCGCGGAGACGGTTGAAGCGCCAGAATCCTCGCTCATGGACGACGGAGTTGAGAAGTACGACTTCGGTAAGGGAGATTGGGATGACGGCGGCTAGTCTGCTATGATTTCGGAAACGGTGCCGCTGTAATCGGCGAGGAAACCGAGTCCGTGGATGGATTGCGCCGCCTGGAGGTGGTTTTGTGGAATTCTTCTGTATCGCCGCCTCAAACTCCGACAACATTGCTCTAATGGTGGAATTCTTATGTTAGCATTGATGAGGCAGAAGCTCAGTTCAGGAATTATCAGCTTTTGTTTGATTATATCAATTCTAATCCAAGCTTGAATGCAGAAGCAAAATTTGGAACATTGGAAGATTATTACAAGACTCTGCGTGAAGAAGCTGAGTGCAGGAAGCTTACTCATTTGGCACATGAGAAGTTGCCTACTGGTTATCTCAGAGGGCCACTTGGTGCAGGAAGCTTACTCATTCCCAAAGAAGGCATGGGATAAATCTCCAATTTCGCATAGCACCCGCATCTATGATTGTGATAATTCTATACAGGGCTACACCATTGAGAAGGAGTACCATGTTGAGCTTGTTGACAGCCATTTTAACGACAAAGATATGATAGCTAGATACCAGACTGAGTTGAAATGATGAAAAGACATAAATACCCCCTCTCAAACGATCATCTAACGGAAATATTGACGGAGGACCAAAATTGTCCTCGTCACAATAAGAGTGTCCACAAATTGTCTGATTTTTTTATAAAGGATCAAAATTGTCTATGTCATTATAAGTCTAGGACCAAAAATGTCTTTTACTCTTTAGAATTAGATGTCTATAATGCCTTTATTTAAAATAATTATTCATTATACAAAATTGGCTCAAGTGCCAAATTGCACCATGAACCAATTGTGATATGTCATGCCGCACCATGAGTAAGTTAACGGTGAACTAACAGAAATTAACGAAGAAGATAATATTTAACGGAAAAGTTAACGGATAATCATATAATTAAGGATAAATTTAAAAATATCAAGGAAAAATTAAAATCTGATCAATCGAGCCCTTCATTTGATTAAAAAATTTGATCGTTATTTTTTTTACCCATTATAGACCTAACTCTCTTTCGCTCTTATTACTATAGTAGATAGTAGATAGTAGATATACATATACTATACAGCAGGCAATGTTGACTGCTGTATAGTATGTGTATATATATATAATTTTTGTGTGTGTGCGTGTGTATATATATATATATATATATATATATATATATATATATATATATCTTATGAGTTATATATATAATTTTTTTTTCAATTAGGAGCACAATTGTAATAATAATAATAATAATAATAATAATAATAATAATAATAATAATAATAATAATAATAATAATAATAATAATAATAATAATTATTATTATTATTATTATTATTATTATTATTATTATTATTATTATTATTATTATTATTATTATTATTATTATTATTATTATATACTTACACACATGGTTGAAAAATTTGCTAGGCACTCATCGAGCGCTCAGAGGGAGCATAGCGCCTAGGCGGCGATTAATCGACGCCTAGACATTCATGTATTTTTTATTTTCTTTTTTTAAAATTTGTTTAAAATTTTTAAATTTTGTAAGACTTGATAATTATAAACTATTTAATACTTTAATAGTTAATATTAAAATATTAAATATTAACTTAAAAAACATATAGAATTTGAATAATTTAGAGTTATTTTGCTTAATAATAAAATGATGTCGTTTTGAGTGAAATAACCCATAAATTTTCACTTGAATGAGCTCACCCATTATTTCAAAATTCTTTTTTTCAAGCCTCTAATCCAAAAACTCTCTTTAAACTAAATCTAATTCCATTTTTTTTAGATTAAAACTAATAGCATGTGTTTGTAGAGGAAAATTGTAATTCTACCCTTAGGCTCCGTTTGGAAAGTAGGAAAATGACTTCTTGAAAATGTTTTATGAAAAATGACTCATTTTCCTTTCCGGTGTTTGGCTACAAAACGGAAAAATGTCTTTGTGTGTTTGGTTCATTTTTCAGAAAATGAGTAAGAAAATGAAAAGAATTGAATACTTTCAAAATTTTAATTGTTTGATACTTTTGATAAAATCATTTTATGAATAGCACTCTTTTGATATATATATATATATATATATATATATATATATATATATATATATATATATATATATATATATATATATATATATATATATATATATATATATATATATATATATATATATATATATAGATAAAGGATCATATGAGGTCATGTTCCCACATGAGGTCTAAGGTCATAATCTGGCCTCTGATTTTGTGGTGATCTATGGTTGTTATTGGTTTGGGTTTTTATTTTGTCCTTTTTTTTTTCTTTTTCCGCGTGAGTGTGTAAGGACCTTTTTGTCTTTGTATTTTTCTTTCCTATTTATTTGGTGTCTTTGTCGGCTGAGTTTCTCATTTTTAGGAGTGTTATACATGGTAAATACAGATTTTGAGCGTTTATATTCTGATGTAGCGATCCACTTTATACAGTTTGTAGTTGTGATTTTTCCTTTCATCGTTTCATAGTTTTTCAATTTTTTCGTCTTTCTCTGCGTGAAGGCTTATGGATTCTCCATGTTAGTTTTTCCGTTTGTTTCTTGTATATTTTTTCTGAGCATCGGTTAGTGGTTGGTTTGTGTATAAGTATGTGTCTATTTGTATGACATGTGTTCTAGGTGCTGTGGTTTGATGTTGGTTATGGAGTTTTAATTTTTATATATAAGTCGGGGGTCTTGGATTATTGATTGGGTAGTTGGTTTGGTTTTATGTCGTAGTTGTATTTGTTATTTTCGTTTTTTTAATAACTGCAATTGGCATATGTTTTTCGTTTTAATTTGTTTTGGTAATTTATGCATTTCGGTATTTGTTTGACATTATGGCTTATGTGTGCTGGGTTTGTGTTCGATGGTAGGATGTTGCCGTGGTAGTTTGTGCATTTCGGTGTACATGGTTGTTGCATTTTATATTGGGTTGAAGGTTTTTGTGCTGTGGGTCGTGCGTGGTAACTTCATAAAGTGTATGTGTTTGGTATTCGGTGTGTGCGTGTTTTCGTTTTTTAATAAGTGCCATTTGCATATGTGTTTTGTTATAGATTGTTCTGCTAATTTATGGATTTCGGTGGTGGGATGACAACATTGCTTGTGTGTGCCGGGATTTGGTTCGCTGTTAGGATATTATGTTGTTAGTTTTGTGCATTCCGGTGTACATGGCATTTGCATTTTATATTGGTTTTGAAGGGTTTTGGTTTGTAGGGGTAGGGTTTTTCTTCGTAAAGTGCATTTTGTGTTATTTGATATGTGCAAGCAGCTTGTTTTTTTTTTTTTTTTTGGAATGATATGCATGTCGTTTTTATTTTGACCGGTTTTGTGTTTGTGTGTATATTGCTGTTTGATGTGTGTGCAGCACGGTCGGACTCGCAGTAAGGGTGTGTTATGGACGTGTCCCCTGATGGGACTAAGTTTTGGATGCCTTCGTGTGATGCGGCGGTTAGGCCTTTTGAGGGGCAGACTTTTCCTTCTCTCGCTCACGGTATTGATTTTTATCGTTAGTATGCGTCGCTCGTTGGTTTTGATGTACGTTGTAGTTCGTTGCGTAGGAATAGGGAGGGTGTTGCTGTGAAAGACTTGTTGGTTTGTTCGCGTGAGGGGTTCAAGCAGGCGGTGTAGGGCTCTGTTGTTGTGGATGCTGCGTTGGATCAAGCACCTGTGGCTCCGAAGAGCCGGCGTGTTTCAAATAGGGTGGGGTGCAGAGCGAGGTTGGTGTTGAAGATGGGTGACAATGGGGCTTTTGTGGTTCATTTCATTGAGCTACGGCATAATCATTGTTTGTGCTCGGATGTGGCTAAGCCTTTCTTGCGGGGTAATCGTTCCATGGATGTGCAACATCAGATTTTTGTGCTTAAGTGTGCTAGGGCCAACGTTGGGCCCAATAGGTCGTTTCGTTTGGCTAGGGAGTTTGCTGGGTCGTATTCAAATCTTGGTGCGACATGTGTCGATTTTAAAAATTTGAAGCGTGATTTAATGGCATTTATTGGAACTTCAGATGCTCATATTGTTGTGAAAAAATATGCTAAGAAGGTAGATGATTGCCCGGATTATGTCTTTAGATATGATGTAGATTCTCAGGATCAGTTATGTAGGGCTTTTTGGACTGACCCTATTGCGAAGGAAAGATTTTCAGCTTTTGGAGAGGTGGTGTCGTTTGATGCAACTTATGGGACTAATAGGTAAGCCACGTGTTCTTAAAAAAAACTTTCTTGTAGTTGTTTTTTTTTTTTTTTTTTTTTTTTTTTTATTTATTACTGGTATGTGCAGTTTATTATTATGTATTTGTGCAAGCAGTATGCTAAAAACCATGGGGTTTATTTTTCGTTGGTTTGGTGTTATGTCTTGCAGGTATGGTATGGTATTGGTCCCGTTTACTGGTGTTGATAATCACAAGAGAGGTGTCACATTTGCAATGGGGTTGATTTCCCGTGAAGATGTGGACTCTTACGTGTGGCTTCTCCAGCAATTTAAAAGTGCAATGGGTTGTGTGCCTAGTTGCACTATCACTGATCAAGATCCTTCGATGCGAGTTGCAGTCCCTCAGGTGTTTGATACTACGCGGCACAGGTTTTGTATGTGGCATATTATGTCAAAGGTTGGCGAGAAGGTTGGTAATGTTCTATCTAAAGATGAGGAGTTTCGGCGCGCGTTGAATGATGTTGTTTGGTGTGAGACGTCGTCCGTGGAGGAGTTTGAGCGGGGTTGGCAGGACGTTATGGAAAAGTATAGCCTTGGTGACCACCGATGGTTTCGTCTTATGTATGATCTGAGATTGTATTGGATCCCTGCGTATTTTAATGATATTTTCATGGGTGGATTGCTTCGCACGACATCGAGGTCCGAAGCTGCGAATAGTGTGTTTGGTAGTTGCACAAACCAGCATGCTAGTTTGTCTGAGTTGTTCAACAATTTTGAAGGGGCTATTGATGCTCAACGTTTGGCGCAGGCCAAACTAAATGCTGAGTGTGAGGGCCATTTTCCTTTGTGCCAGACTCCGATGTTGATTGAGAAGCATGCGGCTGCGGTGTACACTATTAATGTTTTTTATGATGTGCAAGCCGAGGTTATCGCGGGATCTTTTTCGTGTCGTGCTGTGCGTTCAAATGTTGAAGGGCTGGTAACCCGGTATGAGGTTGAAGATGATGATGGCCCGGTGCGCACCGTGAGTTTTGACTCTGGTAATGATGGTGTTGAGTGCACGTGTAACATGTTTTCACGGGTTGGGTTACTTTGTCGTCATATTTTCTGGGTTTTCAAGGATCGTAGGGTTGTTTCTATTCCTTCTCGGTATGTGATCGCACGTTGGACAAGGGGGCTTGTGTGCGACAGGTGTTGGGTGTTCAACGTGGGGGCGATTCGGAGGTAGATGTCGCAATTGGTGAAGCTTGGGCAGAATTTTTTTCGTGCGTGACCATGGCTTCACGGAGTGTTGATCATGTTACCAAGTTGAATGCAGCCCTAAAAGATTTCAAGGCTTTTTTATTGGCTGAGAATGGTCCTACCGTTCGTGCTTCTTCTTCTAAGAAGCAACTTTTTGAGTCGTTTTGCGGTGCTTCGCCAGATGGTCAAGTTAATGTTCGTCCTCCTCCAATCTCTAATAACAAGGGTGGTGGCAAACGTTACAAAAGTACAAGGAAATTAGCTATTGAAAAGTCGGGGCATCGACAACGCCAATGTCAAACTTGTGAAAAGTATGGGCATAATAGTCGTACCTGCCCAATGCGCAACGTTGACGTATGACGAAGGGGGTCGTATTGCTCTTTGGTTTAAATTTGAATTTAAACATGTTGCTTTGTTTTTTACTTCGTCACTGACTTGTGTTTATTTCGCATTTGATGTTGGTTTTCAATAATGGATTTGGTGTGGTTTTGTTTATTGGATTTGTGTTTCTATTCTGTTTATTAATTTTATATTTCCCGTTTTTTAGATAGGATGGTCGTGGTACTCTTTTATTCCGTTTTCATTTATTCAGTAACCACTTCCATCTTACACAGTATAGTATCTTGTGGATGCACAAAGTAACTGGAATTTTGTGCATGTTTGCACAGATCTTTCCTTCGAGGTTGCACAACAATTTATTTGCCTTTGTAATTCGGTTTCGCGTCTTGTCTTGTACCCCCCTTTGATGTACCCTATTATTTCAACTCGGGGGTGTCATGCGGACATGCATGTTATTAACGCTACAATGTTAAGTTGACTTTTTACCAGCGCTAAGACGTCCCCCTACTGGGATGCATGTTGTGTTTCTGTGTGGGTGTACATCATATTAACGTGTCAAAATCTATTTAGTGGACTACGGGTTATTTGTTTTGGACATACGGTGGTATTATTTCATTCTTTTTCCTCACATTATGATGCCACATCCCACTTGCACAGTTCCGGTCATTGTGGTTGCACACGGTCACTGGAATTTTATGCACGGTTGCACGTATGCTCCCATCAATGTTGCATACTATTTCATCTGCACTATACCCGTTTGTGTTTTATTTTGATTCCCCGATTTGTTAACTTCACCCTATCGCATAGTCTAGGGTAGGGACTTTGGCATTAAATCTGGGTTTGTGCTCTGTCTTGCACGTTCGGTTCCTTCGCTTTAACCGATCATTGTGACTAAGGGTGGTCATGCCAACATGCATTTCAATACAACTTTAAACTTAAGTTGGTTTATTACAGTTGTGCCTATCACCCCTACCGTTGTTCATTTTCTTTTTCTATGTGGGTGCACACTACCTTCACGTGTCTTAATGTTTTTAGCGGTCTACGGGTTTTTTTTTTGTTGCCATTTTGCAGTGCATTACTTTAGTAACCGCCGATGCACACACCTGTTCATCCGGATATAACGTAATTGCACAAAGGTGTAATCCACTGAAGCACGAATTAATAAGTGTGCATTTACAGCGGAATAACTTTTTAAATAAAAACCATGCATCTACATTTCGCACAACTTTACCCAAAAAAAGTTGTCCCTTGCCGAAAAATTATTACAAGTGTTAAACCTTTCATTGGTGTCCTTAGTCATGGGTTTTAAAGTCGTCAAAAAAATGCACAATCACACATTTTACTTGCTTAGCGGAATTGCGTGAACACTCCCTTGCCGTACAGTGGTGAGCTTTGGAAGCTTTTGTTGTGTTGCTCATTGCATTCGCTGAGCAGGATTTTCTTCATGTACTTCGCTCGGTATTCTTCTATTGTGGCTTTGTCTCCCTTGGTCAGCCCACATTCCCAACTCTTCGCTTTCTGCCCAATGAAGGATTCCATGTGCCTCATTGTATATACTCCACTATCTGGGTTTTCTGTTGCATCCCTCCAAGGCATTTGCATTCTCTTTGGTTCCATTTCCAGTATTTCAGCCGCCCTTTTATGGTCCTTGTTATCGTCTAGGAAGCACCCGAGCATGTCCTTCTGGTTTCATACATAGACATGGTTAGTAACTTTTATCATATCACCGGTTAGCAACACATTTATATCTATATTGCACCTAAAGAGCAGTAACAGATGCACAGTTCCTATGAATAGAAGTTCTTGCCTCGTAACAGTTGCACAGTTCCTATGATTACAGCAGTAACAGATGCACATTTATATCTATATTCAACACGCATATGATTAGAAGTTCTTACCAAAATATCCGGGATTTTCCCATACACTTCCTCTTTTTTCCCAGCAGAAGAGTTGTCAATGATTTGCATTGTCCTTCCCTTTAGATCGGCGGCGATGACATAGTAGTGAGAATTGTTACATATTGGGAATATGAACTGCATTGCGCATTGAATTCGATTTGGTTAGCAAGAACATTTTTAAAACATGAACACATACATTTGTTACTTCTTAGACTCTTAAGTCGTATGTTAACTTACCATGTCAATCTCTGTCCACTTCTTGTATGGGCTGAAAGTCATCTCGCTTTTCATTTTCCTTTTAAATAGTTTGAGCTGTTGTGCTCGTGTCCCTGTCCATCCCACCACTGTTTCCATCTGTGCATGCATACATAGTCATATTTAGTCAAATACAGTCTTCATATTATTGGAGTATTTCAAGTATTCCTTTTTTTTTTTAATAAAATAGAATTTGCATACCGTTAGTTTGGTTGATGCAAAGAATCGTGCCGAATCAAGGATTTGTTTTGCCCGTTCTTTGTCATTTAGTACGCATGCCCAGCTGTCTATAACTGTCGTGTTTACTTCTTTGCCCGTGTCTAGTGTCAGCATGTCAGATCTTAATGCTCGTTGGTTGTTGAAGTGGAAGAGTTCCTCGTCCCTGCGTGGTTGCAAATCAGGTGATGTGTAATATTATTTTTCATTAGGTGTTGAATTATAATGTGATCTTTCTTACTTGTCAGCATTTGCATTCTCGATTATCCACTTCTTCATCTCACTTGGGGTGGGGGAGTACCATTTTGTGAGCTCTCTTCGTGCTATGCGATCATGCTCTGACGGTGTGCCTGGGTTTTGTGGTAAGTTGGTCGTCTTGCCTTCATTACGTTGCACTTTCATTGGTGCCCTTTCTATGGTCCCTCCTTGGTCTCCTTTGTCCTTTCCATTCGGGTTAATCAGTTGCTGCAAAATGTGTGTTTTAAAATTAATCTAGCTCCCATGTTTTTGGTCATTGTTTGCCCACTGTGTGATTAAACTTTTCGAGACTAGTTTATTTATTTTCACAAATGTAGCTAACTTTTAGACGTCTAATAGCCATACCATGTACATCCGTCTTATATGGTAACATTGCAATTCAGTTTACCACATTGCTGCACAATCAGTCCCCAAACACTTCACATTCTAACTACCCAAACATTTCACAGATGCACAATTATCAACTTTTTAGTTCAAACTCATTTTCAAATATTTCACACATCCACTTCCCAAACCTTTACCTATTTTTAAATCACGCAACATTGGCATTTTGTTTCCCAATATCATGCACATTATTTTAGTTTAAATTATTTTCCATAACGAAGCTTATATCGATTTAGCACGCGACATACCTCCGGAGGTGTGACGAATGAGTCTTCTGGTTGGTTTGGCGTGGGGTGCTTATCATTGCCGTGTATTGATGCGTTCCTGGTTTCTCTTCCTTCATCTTCCGTCTGCATCGCTTCCTCGCACTGCATTTTCGAACATTAAAATCACACTGCCAATCTGATATTGTTCAAAATAATATATTTGTGGTGCATTTTACATTTGTCCTATTTATGAATATTCCTTTTTTAACTTACAGCATCATCTTCAATCACGGGGTCCTGATTTGGTTCACTCACCACCAGTACAGTGTGCATCTCCTGGGTTAATCCTAGACTGAATGATGGCATTTCATATGCTGCCTCGGTGTCTCCCATATGCATGTTTATCTCATTTTGTACTTCTGTCTCCGTGTCGCCTAAATCAGCTTCGCCACCCTCCTCACCGTTACTTTTTGATGCACTGCTCACTGGCTCTTCGGCACCTTGTGTTTCGGGGTGTGCTTGTTTGTGCTTGCATTTTTCTCTCGCTGCCACATATCGTTGTCCTACTCTTAACAGCAACTTTCCCGCCTCCACTAACTTCTCGAACGTCGTATGACTCAGTGTGCACTTTCCAGCTTCATCCGCAAGTTTAGTGAGTTCTTGCACTTTAGTTATAACCTGGTTTGCATCATCTACAAACCGTACCTCCATGGCCTGCCATTTCGTGGTCCAGATTGTAAGTGCTAACACAATCAACTAGCTGGTTTTTAACCAATTATAGCTCCTTATTAAATTAACCTTATAAGTTTTTACCTTTACTGCATCTTCGGCTTCATTTTCTTGGTTTTCGACTCTGTTGTGATCGTTCAATTGCGCGTATTCTTCTCCGTTTGTCTCAAACACTCCTAAACCAAACCCCCCCTTCTTAATCTCCGCAAACTCACGCTCGTTTAACAGTTTTGCAGTCCACCCTATGAATGATGGTCTGTTTCGCTCTACATATCGGCATGGGCTCACAACTTTGTCCACGTACAACATCTGCATTTTCATTTCTCATGACAACATTTGTTATTATCATAATCATATACTCAATACACAGATTACCATTCAACCTCACGCCAAAACTAAAATTAATTACACACAGAATGCTAAGCTTACCGTTATGAATAGCAATGGTCCAGTAAATTTTTTGTGCTGCTTTGTCACCCATTTGTTGTGGCATTCAACTAGCTCGTCTATCAGATACTTGCACCAATTCAGTTCCCTTATCTTGCTCACATCTTTGAGCTCGTGCATTATTGATTGATTTGCATACCCATTTTGTTGGATGCAGATTAGGACGCTTGCTACTAGGACTGTGAAGTACCTCTCGAACCAAATTCCACCATCTTTTTTCTCTTTTAACAACAACCCTATCATGTAAGGGGTTA